TTAATCGGATAGAAAATAAAATACATTTTTAAAAATGGCTCCGGTGATGGGACTACTAGTTTGTATTGAGATTGCAGTCCATCACAGGAGCAAGCTTGGAGCGGTGGAAGTAAAAAAGAAAAAAAAGAAAGTGTGGTGTGCAATATAGTGAAATGAAAAGTGTAAAATTATATAGCAATGAATGCAGAATGGCACCGGCTATAGAGGACTACAAAACCCAGCAATAGTACATTATACAGCGCAATGCAGAATACCGCCAGCTATAGAGGAATACAACAAATCCCAGCAATAGTACATTATAGCTGGCGGTATTCTGCATTGCACCACTGTATAATGTGTTATTGCTGGGTTTTGTAGTCCTATATAGCTGGTGGAATTCCGCAATGCTGTATAATGTATTATTCCTTGATTTGTAGTCCTCTATACAGCGCAATGCAGAATACCACCAGCTGTAGAGGAATGCAACAAATCCCAGCAATACATTATACATACAGTGTATAATGTATTGCTGGGATTTGTAGTCCTCTATAGCTGATGGTACATTGTGCTGTATATTATACCATCAGCTATAGAGGACTACAAATCCCACTATCCCAGCAATACATTATAGAGCACCATGTGGGGGGGAGGAGGGTTGCAGGCTTACCTGAGCAGTCTTCCAGCAACTTGTTTCTGAGATCGGGTCTGTCTATCGGAGGCTGTCATCGCCCACACCTGCTCCTCCTTACTTCTTCTCCCGCGTCCCTGTGCCGATCGTCGATTTGGGGCAGCCAGTGAGTGTGAGGCGGGGAGAAGGTGCGGCATGTGGATGCGGGCGGGCGGATCTGGCAGCGGCGAGCATCAGGTGGGGAGGAGGTTGGCGCGCAGCGTGTGTGGAGCCGTGAACAGGGCCAACCAAACGGAAGCCGATTAATCGATGATTGAAAAAGTTGACAACTTTTTCAATAATCAATTATAATCGATTATGTCGATTAGTTGTTGCAGCCCTAATACATATACACACAAACACACACACAGAGTGTACCTCTCTTCTTCAGGTCAGAAGCAATACTCCTGAAGAAGAGAGGTTCACTATCGAAAGCTTGTCTTTTATATATTTTGTTAGTCCAATAAGAAAGGTATCATTGCACACTGCAATACTGCATTTTTGTCTTTTTTGACATCTTGTCTACTGGACTAATACGGCTTACCCATTTATATTGC